GTCTGTCTGTCTGTCTGTCTGTCTGTCTGTCTGTCTGTCTGTCTGTCGATCCATCTATCTATCTGTTTGTCTGTCTGTTTGTCTCTCTATCTATCTATCTATCTATCTATCTATCTATGGCACGGACTTTTCTATCTATTTTGGGGTCTGTATATGCATTTGTCACATGTTGTTGTTATTTTTTTATGTCGCTTGAGCGATGGGCAGGGCGCGGAGTTGCATGCAACAAAGCCCACAATCGATTCAGGCAGACTTCGTCGAGGGACCCAGTTGAGTGATGCATATCCCAAAATGATGACCTGATACTTCCTGGAAATTCGACACTTTCGCATGAACCGGGAGAATGAAGGGTTGAGCCCCCCAAAGAACAAAGGATAAGAGGCCACTGTGGAGCCACAGCTTCGAACGCCGACCGCCTCAGGACCGCCTGGGCGCTCACTGCCTGGCAGCTCGGCGCACGCGACCTTACTGGGACTGATGGCTGATGCCTTCGCATGGCAAGAAGCTTTGCTGGTCTTTGGAGGCGAGGAATAGCTGGAGCCACAGAGGGAAAAGGCAAAAAAACACAAAGATGTCTTGAGAAGCGTTTAAGAGAAAGGGGTCCATGTAAACCACCAAACTTTTGGTCTTGTGGGTCCAAATTGATCGGGCACAAACAACATTTACAGGTACGACTATACTGTGCAGATTTGTGCAGACGGTGTACTGGGACGATTAGCACGTTGTAAAGATCAACGGTGCAGTGGTACTATCCGCATCCATGTGTCATGGTTGGTAGCTCGTGTCATTTCCATTTTCAGTGGGAACTCTTGGGTGACTTGTCGCTGGGGGAGCCGGATGGAATGCGGAATGCTCTCCTGTTCATACCAGAATGCGTTGCAACACTCACCATTATATAAAGATGTAAACTGTAGTTACAGGTATCCAATCAATGAATTTGTGTGGTAGAGTGGAGTCCCTATTTCTCAGTGCCTGTAAGAGAACTCGTTCTTCAAGGGTGTTGCAAAATCAGCGAACGAGACGGACTTTGCTGTTTGGTCATCGGGCGATGGCTTAAATCCTGCTATAACGGTGGGCTTTGTTCAAGGTGTATGAACATCTGCAGGATGTTCGTTGGTGTCTACCAGGCTGTGAGGTGGCACACAGAGCTATGTCATGTGGAGCCTGGAACATGGGAGACACCACTGAATGACAGTTGAACAGAGATGCCTGTTCACGATCACCAGTACTCATGAGCCAAGATGACCAAAACATCCCTCATGGAGGAGTCAAACCAAACCAAGAGAGCTGGGATGCCGATGCAAGCGTTCACCCTGAAACCCACCTTTTTCTGGCCTGCTGCCCCGACATGACAGACATTTCCGGAATTTGGTGTCGGTCCACATCAGAAGGGGCGTGTAGATTTCAACGTCACACATGTGTAGTTTGCTGCTCAGTTTCATAACATAGTGGATTCCTGAAGAAGTTTGCCATCAAGAGCTCAAAAAGTCAAGCATTGTCTTTTGGATCGTTTCGGAGATGTTTCTCGCATTTTCTCACCGTGTTTTTTTTTTCCACCACTTGGGACGACCGGCCTTCTCAACTTTACACAACCACACCGGCCAACTACGCATTACGACTTCCTATAGGCTAACGGCTTACTTCAGCTGTTTCTGACACGTCCCCCACAGGATTGGAGATGCCAACCAGCGCTTGCTTCAACTCGACGATGACGGCTCCTCGGCCCTAGGCGGATCCAGGGCCGAAATCCAGGGCCTGGGTGATGGGGGTAGATGCACTTGTATGGTTTGCAATGTCCACTAGTGCCGGAACTTGCACTGAGACGGTTGTGAGAGTGGCTGAGAGTCTGTTTCTACTCAGCTGGTTGCATCAATCCTGTTATGTGATTCACCATTTGGAAGGCGCTTGGAGATGGGAATGCCCCGGAACGAGAGCATTGGATCCGATTGACGCACCAAGCACATGCTCTCCTGTTGATATCATGGGGGCCGTACCAAGCGAGTGAGTGGTGTCTCCCAGATGGCTCATTGCCAAGATCCACTTCGTGATAGTGATACAGAAATTGATGACAATTGCAATGGTTGGAGCAAGTTCCTTGTGAGGTTATGTGAGATGTGCTAATATCTGCCAAGACTTGCTCTTTGAAAATCAAGAGTTGATTGAATGCTCTTGCACATGTTTTGTGTCTTTTGTTTGTACATGCTGCGGGATTCCAATGATGCCCCGTACAGGGCCATTCTTCTCATATCGGTATACTATAATGTATACTACGACCACTGACTGGATGCCGTTGTCGACGGTTTCCTTTTCTGGCCCTCAAAGTCTCTAGTTTGCTCTCCCAGGCGATCCACCCTCTAATTATCCAGCAGCCTGAGGCCTGTCACAGGTCTTTCCACTGGCAAGCGGCCCTGCGCATCTTTGACCAAATGAAGGCCACGGGCCAAATCGCATGTTCTCAGATGCTGGGTTCGTGCACTCCTTGTTCCTATTCATCCAACCACCCTTCTCATTGCATATCAAGGGACCACTCGATGCACCAACCAGACCACTCCGCATTCCACCGATCACCTCAGAAGAGCGCCACGAATTGGTCGGGCATAACTGGTCGCCTGCATGAGAGGAGCCACCGACCCTCGGCACAGGGGAGTCTTGAAATAGGAACGTGAGCGCTCCAACGGTGGGGAAATCATGTACTGGTAACCGTAACCGTAACCTCATGTTTTCGGTGCTTTATGCATTGGAGCTGCATGGAAGAGCTGGATTGTCAATGTAGTACAAAGTTGAAGGAACTTGGGTTGGGGAGCTCCCTTTGTGAGGGTCGACCCCATATATTCGCACTAAGAAATGGAGGGACGATTTTCAGATCTGTTCTAGAGGGCCAGAGGGGTAGAGTAAAAGTGAACAATCACCATACAATACACCTACTCAGACACTTGGAGAACAGTTGCTTGGCTACATTTTGGCCACATTACGGTTTTTCAGCGCCTTTGCCATGTGAGCATTGAAAAACACGCGCAGTGAACATGACCTACCTCCTGAGCTACCGGCGTACCTCATGTTCGCTTCCCACCGGTGTCTCACTCCCTTTTCGCTCCATCCAGGTTGCCCAGCGCGACGCCAGCAGCTATGCCAATGCCTGCAGAGCCTTCGCGGAGGCCGCGCTGTGGCAGCGACAGTTAGAGCTCCTGCGACTTGGCGATCCCGAGGTCGCGGCGACCTGTGGTGGAAACGGTTCGATGTGTGGCGAAGGGCTCGAACCACAGCGCGGCAGGGCTCGAGTAAAGCGTGGGGCTTTGAGGATTTTGAGGGGAAGGAATTTGGGTGAAGAGCCGGCAGGGATGAGTAGAGCCATCCCTTGTCCCAATGGGCTGTACTGTATATAGGTCTATTTAGTGTGCTTGGGATACTTTTGGAGCACCCAACAGGTATGGTCCAGGAATAGTCAATTTACTGTAATTTGGGTTAAGAATGTAGTAAAATCAAGCGGGATCAACATTCATAGTTCACCAAATGTTGAATCATCATGAATGTGAGGTTTCCACTCTTTGCTTGGCAACATCAAGAATGTCAGAATCCGGGCCTTGTTGCTTTGAGTTTTTGTTGTTCGGTGTTTGTTTCACATGTGGATGTGCATGTTTCACATTGTCATGAGACAACCCGAGAGTACTTGTAATATTTCATCATATTTCCCCCAAGGATCCACACCAAAACCCTTTGCGCCCCTCAAGCCATCATCACCTTCCGCAGGGAAAATGCTCGTCCAAACCTTCAAAGGTTTCCAGTGAACTCTTGGGGAGGCCAGAGCCTCCGCACTGTGAATCTAGCAATCCAAAGGTCTCAAAGACCTCAATAGACCTAAGACTCCTCTTTTTTTGTGTGCTGGAGGTTTTTCCATCACATGACATTTTGCACAGGCTTTAGAAGGGGTGTCCTCCAAGCTGAACACCATCCAACTCGAAGACGCAGGGGCTCTGACTGCGTTCTGAACTCCTGCTCACTGCGTTCCGACCGTCAGATCACCGGGATGCTGCCCATGTCCAGCGGTTCAAACCGATGTTTACTTTCTTATCCTTGGGACCCGTTCAAATCATGACAACAGTGCAGGAAGCATGGAAGCATGGAAACATCATGACAACCTGAACAACATCTCATCTCATCTCATCTCATCTCATCTCATCTCATCTCATCAGGCCCTCATCTCATCTCTCCTTTGCCACCGTGGATCCCGGTGGCCCTATGTCCCAGGTCGAGCGTCTATCGGTCCAGTGCGCATCTCTCGGTGCCCTGGGTGTTTTTGTTTGGCGGCCATGGGAAGCGTGCCACGACCGCAGGGTTGAGTCTGAAAGGACATGCCTATGTTACATGCATTTAGTATTTAGTAGTAGTTATATAATATACCATAATATATTGTAATTGTCATCTATTTTGTTTGTCCCAAAACTGACAGTCTTTGGGCACCGTAGGGTCAACGTCATTACCTTCTGCCCCCGGTCAGGAGCAAGCGCCGCTACCAAACTCTCTCTAATGGCCTTTGAAATGCACAGAACCACGGGGCTATACCAAGCCTCCCAACGGTGTGGTGTTTCAATGCGAACGCCCTTCCAATAGAAGTCTCTACCAAGGCTGCCAAAGCCAATTGCTCAAGCTTAGCTTGATACAAGACATCATATCCCTTCATCGTCAGGAGTCTCTACTTGGATGGACCATACCGAGCCCATCCAAAGCCGTAGTGGTTTAAACGACAGTGGGGCTTTGCGGGCACATGTCCAACCTAATAGCGATGACCTCCCCCTAGTAGCGTCCTTGTTACTTAGTAGTAATGGCCTCCAACCTAATAGCGATGGCCTCCCCCTAGTAGTGTCCTTGAGTAGGAGCTTCATTTGGGGGTTGGGGCTTTGCGGGCACAGGTCCAGCTCTTTGATGCCTGCCTCATGGGTGCTGCGAAGACCGAACATTGGCAGGCCGGAGACCGAACATGCCCAGCCCGTGCACGAGTTTACCTTTTCCGGGATCTGGAATCGGGTGTTGTTCAGGAGCCGAGATGTAATGGCCGTGATGGCTTTTTGGGGGGGCACACCAAGCCCTGGACAGGGGAAGAGATCTGAGGACACCTGTTAGACACCTGGACACCTGCTGGACACCTGCTGGACACCTGTTGGTGTCCGATGCTCCGATCCTGCCAGGTGGCAGTGGACATCTTTGCCTCGATGGAGGCAGCAGGGGTCCAGTGCCTCGACACGAGGGGTCCAGTGGCAAAGCAGAGAGCCCTACGCTTGGCTTGTAAAGAAGCATCGGTTTTCCAGTCTGGTCCATGCCATCAGGTGATGTTTGATGTGAACCTGATTCTTTTGGATGTTGGGGGGCGGTGGATTCCCCTCAGTTCTCGACGAGAATCCAGATGGAAAGTTCGGTCCATTCCAGTGGCCTCTACAGCAGGATAACTGCTGTAGCAACAGCGCCTCCGTGTAAGCAACTTTTCTCAGATGTTGACCTCTCAGAAATGAAACTGGAAGGGTATCCAGGTATGTATTTGTTTCACGATTTCTGAGAGTTCTGAAGACATCCAAGGATTGCTACGACTACGTAGGATTTTGCGAGGTTTTGCTGTCTCCCTCCCGCAGCTGCTGACATGTTTGATGCTGTTGACATGTTTGATGCAGCACTTGTGAGTGATTTCCCTTGGTTAATGCAGCTTGGAGAGGGAGCCAGATTTCAAAAGTGTTGCTTCCAAATCCAATTAGATAGGAAATGATAATAACATCCATTGGATGGGTAATTCAATACATGTCCTTTCGTGCACGGACGTCCACCTATCTGAGCCAAAAAACGGTCGCCAGTGCCGAGCCGTGAAACAACGGTTTGAGAAAGGTTATTTTTCAAGGAATTGCAAGAAGCTGTCCCATGGTCCTTAGCAGTGTAAGAAGACATAGGAATCAGGTAGGGGCCAGTTTACGGACCATGGTTTACACTATGTTTCTAAGGTGTCTTTCTAAGGCTATGGTTTACGGAGGTGGTTTTTGAATCCACCGCCTTAGAAAGACCTTGGTTTCGAAGGGCGGGGGTCCGATGGCTTTCGTCGCCGGCCTTCGCCGTTGTTAGGGGCACCGGGAGAGAGGTTCGGTTCGGCCAAAAGCCTCGGCTTTGGTTGCTTGAAGAGGAAGAAAAGGGAGGCCCTGAGTTTCATACCGTTGATTCTATCCATGCATAGGTTTTGGTAAAGGATGATTGCAATGTGTGTACTTCTCAATCAGCTTCCACCTGCAAATAGCAGGTAGACAAATCGCATGACATTTTATAGATCAGCCCATCAGTGCTCTCCAGATGTAGGTTGACCATGCGTGCTCGATCCGGTGTATTCGGAGAATGAAGTCCATGTTACATCATTTTCACCAAGTTGGTTTATCCACAGATCGGAATTTTGATCGTGTTGATAGCTGGACTTAGGGTTTGGTTTCACCCCAAATCATGAAACCAGCCACGAACCCCACAATGCATGGGTGATGCTGAACGCTCTCAGGCCCGATGATCTCATTCGTTCGCAGCTGATGCGTGTCTTGGGCCCTCATCAGGCGAAGCGGCCATGTGGAGGTTGACGGGGCAATACCTTGCTTCCCCAGGTCCTTTTGGGTTTGAAAGCAGGGACACCCACATGTTTTGACATTTTTGACCACCAGGAGCCCACTCTATGGGGGCATTTTGGGGGGTGATGCTAGTAGTTGTTGCTGGATTACTTCGCTGCCATCATATGGTGGAACTCAGAGAATGCCTTGTCACCTTCTTCTTCTTCCTCTTCTTCCCCTTCTTCTTCTTCTTCTTTTTTGATGCCATGACCCTTTGGTGTCGTCGGCGTACAAGGACATAGACATAGATAAACAACATATCACACAACAAATGCACCCAATGATTGAGAACTCTCCGACAGTCATCGCAGGCTCTACCCAAATTCTAGCGAAGTAGAAGCGAAACTCACCTTGACACAAGATACTAGCTTGGCGCGAACACCCCGACTCGGAGGCTTGGTCGCATAGGTGGACTTGAAGCATCCGAGCAAGTGAAAGCAGGATTGAGGAGGTGAAAGAAAACCCAGGCATCTTTCGTCTCAAACATCCAATGCTTTCTAGAGCGACCAGGTCTCCGAACTGCGGGGGTGATGATGCTATTTCGGCAAGAGAGCACTATTCCGCGCATGGGATCTCGGTTAGGAGCCCGAAAGAGATGGTCCAAAAGCCTGAGTCGTCTCTTTTTTGATGTGTCACTGACCGTTTGCATAGGTTTGTTTCCAACCCTGTGACGGTTAGCTTCGTTGAGAACGGCAGCATTTGACCAGGACCTATTGATGAAGCCAGAAGGGAGATTCAAGATTCTTCGGAGACCCCGTTGTTGAAGTGCACCACCATAGACTGCAGTCCTCTCATTGTCATGGACTCAGTCCTCTCCACCGCAGGTGTCCGCACTCCTGAGAGAAGGGCGCCCTCTGAAAAGGGCGTCGACGAAGAGTTCGGAGATGGAAAGACTCAAGGGAGGGAGGATGAAAGACACACCGGAGTCTACCTGTTCATGTGGAGTCTGGATCTTTGTTTGGATGGTTACATCTAAGAAAGTAGGGGCTATATCGACATATTCAACATATTATCCTCAAGGGGAAGCAACATGTAGCCACCAAAGCTTTATGTTTAAGTTTGCGATTTGTTGGTCGGATTCAGGTCCACTGGCCAGATGCAGAGAACACTTTAAAGCTGGGTGGGTCCTCTTTTTTTCCAGAGCTGCACGTATTTCTTTTCACTGCATCCTTTTTCTTCAGAGCTGCACATGTTTCTCCGTCTTGAGGTATAGTCTTTGAACAAATTAATTGTCAAGGAGCTGAAAAGCCGGGGGTTGAAGGGACAAGTCTGTGTTTGGCTGCCTTTGAACAAACAATTTCAAGCCTCGCTTTGTTCCATTTCAAGCTGTTTGGCTGCTCGATGTGGGGGGCTTCGCCAAGTCAGCCTGCCTGCGTGCATTTTTTTCGAAGCCTGTGCCCCGACCTTCAGACATACGCATGACACGATGGTGACAAGCATTTTGGTTGGTCGATTTGTCATGCATATAGAGAACCAAATCAAGCATACCATGATAAATCTCACATGACTGGGGTGGCTTTACAGATTAACTAATCTATATATATATACCAATGGAGTGCTTGCCATGTGTAGAACCGATTCTCTGGCAGCCGGAACCCCTCTTCTTCGACGCCTTTCTAGAGATCATCACTCGTATTTTTCGCATCACTCGTATTGCATCTGCGTCATTAAGCACCAAGAGACCGGACCGAGAATCCGAGAGACCCCCCATGGACGGTTCGGACCAATGAGTGCATTGCAATTGTTGTTTCCATGGTTATTTGCCTTGTTGTTTCCATCCGAGAGAATCCCTCAGTTTCACGTTGAAAACGGCCTTGTTGCTTGCATTGAGTTGTCTTTTAACTACCGTGGGTAGTATCACGTCTTGGTTGGGTGCAGCTGTGCGGTTCTCCACCTGGCTGTCGCTTTTTACCCTTAAGGCAACCCCCCAAGAATCTTCATCACCCCCCTTGGTGCATTGGATCCTCTCCTTTCCAATCCTGTTCAGCCATGGAGTTCCGGTCCAGACGGTGCTGGAGAAAGCGGACTGGGAACGCTTTCTGGCACGCTTTCCGCTGGGCACGCGTGGCTGTGGCGACCTGCTTCGTGAGTGGCGCTGCGAATTTTGCAGGCGAAGCGAACGTGGAGCTCTTGAGACAGGAAGAGACCGAGAATCGGCCACAGGGAGAAGCAGGTCTTTTTAAGCCCCGAAAGCAGAGGACACTGATCGCCACCTATGAGCCAAGCTTGTCACCCCAACAGCTTCATTCCCCGATCCACATGCCACGATCAAAGGTGTGAGACGACACCGCCTGGAGGTGCCTATGCCTGGCAGGTGCCAACACCTATACCGTAGACCAACATCCAGTGGTTTTTGATTTGTTGATCCACCATCAAACAGCTAAATCCGAAACCTATGGGCTGGTGTATTGAATAAAGACACCAAAGTGGCGTTAAACAGTTAAGCGTTTGCGTCGTTTTGTTGATCGTTCAATAGTGATATTGGTTGTAGTTTCAGGTGGTATACGCCGTTGTGTTTCTACTCGTTTGTGTCATGTTTCCATGGGATTTGAGCGCGGTCCTTTTTATGTGTTTAGCCAAACACCCGTAAAGTGAACACCTACGCAAAAAACAGCTGTGTCAAAATCGGAAACTCTCGTTTTGGGTTCTTCATCGATTCGCCTCGCGTTTTCCCTCGCTTCGCCTCGCTTCGCCCCGCTTCGCTTCGCGCTTCGCTTAACGTGCTTCGCGCTGGTGGGTGCTGGACCTCCAGTTCCGCGCATCGCCCGACAGGTCCGCGCTTGCCGCCGCCGCAGCTGGAGGAGACCTGGTGGCTGATTCGAGCCCCGGCCGTGAAACACGTCGAGCGAGGCGCAGAGGTCGTACCCGGAGGCTACCAGGAGGGGTTGGTGAGGTCGGACACTTGGATGGCTTGAGCAGTTCCAATTGATCAATTTGCAGGGCTAGGTTTTCTTCAAGTGCGTTCTCTTCAGTGTAGCAATGAAAACAACGGAAATGGTGTATATATACCCAAGGGTGGTTCTAAGTGGCTGCAATCGTAGGCAACTTCTTGCAGGAGCACCTTCCGTCAGTGTGGAGTTCGTTTGCTGGACGGGTAACAGATGGTAACAGGATTCATGTCCAGTCAAATAAATATATATACCCGGGTGAACACCACAAAAATGACACATCTCAACCGGTTCTGGGGGAAGTTGACATGTTTTGACCTATAATGATATACGCCTTGGATCATCTCAACATGTGTTTTAAGTTCTTGGACTTGAGTGTATGTTCCTTGACTCATTAGACTTGAGACCCCAACAAATCTGATGTCATGTGCCTCCAAAAGGACTTCGGCATTGCGGGACCATGTCGGACCATGGCAAAAGCTCACTCCCAAGGAGTTGATCTGGGTCGCACTTTGGGAAGCTTTATGCCTTTGCGTTGGGCCACAGATGCTTGGACTTCTGTGTGTCATGCATGGCTTCCAGTGACGGGGGGGGGGAACCTCCCAAAACGTCCTCACAGTCACGGGCTTTGAGGTCCAAGCAAGAAGCCATCCTCCATAAACGCATTTAAAACAAGCCATCCTCCAAGAACCACCCTTTGAGTATTGGAGGATGGCTTGTTTTAAATGCGTTTATGCTCTACACCTTGCAGTTCGCAGGCGAAATCCGCGTGGATGTTTGGAAGCCCCAAGAGGCTCGGTTCATCGGTTCATCGCATATTGTGTCAACCGTAGCTGGGCCCCTGTGTATCGACACACTGCATGCAAACACCTACGACGTAGGGTATCGAAAGGTCACATTCAAGACTAGTATTGAGACACCCAATCCTGCCACAGTCTGAGTGCCTTTGGCCACCTTGCAGGTCACGTCTTAAGAATAGTAGTATATAGTAGCCCATTGCCATGAATTGGTGGTCCTCGTGTGGGATGGAGTATTACTCCGGTCCCAGGACGGTAGCCGCTTGCTGCTGCCCATGATCGTGCGCTTTCAGCGAGGCGTGTCCGCTTCTGTCCGGCGGAGCTACGGGGGCCCAGGTTTCTTGGGCTCTCCGATGATCCAGAATGTTCCAAGATGTTGCAACTGCGGGTTCTTCCAAACGTTTCTTCTATATATAGCTTTCTTTTTATAGCGCACTTGAAACATCCTTCAACCAGATTGGCATGACATGTTTCGCTGTTATTTCCACTCAGATCCAGCCGGTGGCACTTCACTCTACGTTTGGGTTATCACCCATCTCGTGAGATCCTGTTACAACTTCTCATCGCTTCATGGCCACCCACCACGGTGCTCTAAAAAAAACGCCCGAAGGGCTTTCACCGACCGATGGCGAGACCGTTGGGCTTTCACCGACGCGAGCGTCCCGCGACCGGGCTCACCGTGTGCGACGCGAGCGTCCGCGACTGGTCGACATCGATTCAGGTGGCACCTTACAAGTCCATCGTGCAGGCGATTTCCTGGGAGCTCCTTGGAGGATTTGTTTTGTCGGCATTCAGATTGATTAACTGATTGGTAGCCAATTGGATACATCAACATGCAACAAATTAATATATAGAAGAGCCCCTGATAATCGCCCCTGATATTTCATTGAACAAAGAACAGAAAGAATCAACCACTTCCAGCAATCCAGGTGCGCAGCTCTCGATATAGGACCAGCACCGACACCTCTATATGATACACAGATACACACAGAGGCTTACCAATGCTCCCCACATGTCCTTGAATTCTCCAGACTGCGGCGCTTCTGTCTTTTCTTTTCTGTGCGGAGCAGTCGATTTCGAAGTCGCAGTCTTTGGTGAGCAGTCCTGGCATTTCAGGCTTTGGAGGGATGTTGGCTGTCCAAACAGCCCATTTTGGCGCTGGTTTTCGCTTCGATCACTGGTCGGGCTGACAGCTCGCTGTCGCATTGGCTCGGGCGAAAGTGATCTCTCGATGGAGGAGGGTCCCTCAGTGGACGAAGAGAGCGTCATGTTGTCACGTGGCCGAGCTGATCCACAGCGCCCAAAACTACAAGATGCTATACTTAGGGCATGTTTCAAAGGCAATCTAGAATCTAGATGAACTGGAAGTCTGAAAAGTTTGCCGGTCCGAGCAACCTCAAGATCCTGATGCATTAGCTGTTTGTGGATCTACTGCTCTAAAGTGTGCAGCTTCTTCTCATGTTGATGCGATGCGCTTGCGACTTGAAGCGATGCGCTGGCATGGGCACAGAAAGGTCATCATGGCTTAACTCGTTCGCGTTGCTTTGCAAGTGTTGTTGGATGCCTGAGTCCCTCCTCATGCCACCACATGCAGTGGCTGGAACAGAAACCTCCCGCTTGCTACAGGGCTTGTTGTGATCAGACCATGGTGATGATGGCTTCACACCTATTCACTCGCGACGTCTGAACTCAGGACCTTGTTGATAGACGCTGAGGCCTTTTGTGGTCCAGTCAACGATGTGCAACAAACACTCCTTAGCTTACAAGGAATTGCGCGCTTGGCATCGCTTTTGCCCCAAAGGTTCCAGCTGCATTTGCCCCATCTAAAGCCGCAACCATCAATCCAACGGACTGTCCAGGCTTGTGCCCACGGAGGTTCTGCTGCAGTCACCGACATAAGGGCTGGGTTTTAATTCTGCCCTGCAGGGTTTTTTTTCCGCCCTGTGCAGTCCTGGTAGTTCCCGCCCTGGAGGCTTGTGCCCTGCATTCTGCCCTGCAGGTTATTTTTTCCGCCCTGTGCAGTCCTGGTAGTTTCCGCCCTGGAGGCTTGTGCCGCAGGAACCCTGTGCAGGGTTCTCCCTGTGCAGGGTTCTTCTTCCACCCTGTGCAGGGTTCTTTTCCACCCGGCGCAGGATTCCTTTTTCACCCTGTGCCGGATTCCTTTTCCACCCTGTGCAGGATTCCTTTTCCACCCTGCACAGGGTGGAAAAGGATCCCTGCACAGAGTGGAAAAGGAACCCTGAAAAGGAATCCTGCACAGGGTGGAAAAGGAACCCTGCACAGGGAGAACCCTGCACAGGGTGCCTGCGCAGGGTGGAAAAGGAACCCTGCACAGGGTGAGAAAAGAACCCTGCACAGGGTGGAAAAGGAACCCTGCACAGGGTGAGAAAAGAACCCTGCACAGGGTTAAAAAAACGCCCATGCGTGACAAGGTGGAAATAGAACCCAAACAGGGCGGAAAAAAAAACCATGCCCACCGACATAACCATTGGTTGAGTCTTCACCGACATAGCCCTTGTCCCACAGTTAGACCATTCCAAGGGAATACTTCTATGTTGACCTATGTTCACTGCTCAAATGGGTTTTGTAATGTTTTGCATGGATTTGTGCCTTCTATTTTGAAATTACATAAGATCATAATGTTGCTGCTGTTCCAATCCCATTGCCTCATGGATGATCCATCAATCAAACACTGCTAGTTCTTTCAAGTCAGCATCAGCTCTGAGACGCTCTTGGATGTTTCTGAATAGACCCACACAAATTGTTGGAGTTGCATTCCTGCATTCCACGTCACACAACTCCACCCGAGTTCAGAACAGGTCTTTTTTATTTTGTTTTTTTCGGTTACACCGGTCGCAGAACTCCTCGCCTTAGGAGTGGGACTCCCCGCCCTCGAGTGCTATGGGGCCCATGTTTTGGGACACGTCCGAGGAGGATGGAGGGCCGGGAGGTCGGACTTGCTGGGAGGTGGCGGAACAAGCAGGTGGGGGCAAGAAGGGGTGTGTTTGCAAAGCACGGAGAACTGGTTACTTCCTGGAAGGCTGAACTGCCTGCAATACATTCCATTCAGATGAAGGGATAGCCTATCAGAATTATCAGATACTTGTAGCACAGATGTATGTATAATCTATATACAGTATGATACAGTAGATTCATGTAGATTCCTGGATATGATTTAGACACATCGACCTCGCGCACGACGACAGTCCACGTCGCCGCGTCGCGAACAGGGCATGAAACCTGAAGTCACTTCTGGCAGCTGGGAGATGCTGGACGCGGAAGGAGGACGGCAGGTCCAGTTTAACGTCCGCACCACGGGTTTCTGGGTCTATTTGGATGATGGGAGGTCTGCTTTGCCTAGGGGGGTCAGTGTGAAGAAAGTGCAGTTTGAGAGATGTTGAGCGGATTCACTTGTGTTTGTTTTGTGCTCCTGGCTGTCAAATGTGCAGATTGTGTCCATCACTCTCATGTTTTACTTGTTGTAGTGTCATGCCACCTGCCTTAACACCTTGCGGCAGTTGCCAGTTGCCCATGCAAGTTACAGTCGAGTCCTATAGACATGAGTAGCCTGAATAGCCTCCCATCACGTGAGAGAAGAAGACCTATGGATGTTTGTTTTCTTGCGCAGAGTCTAGGTTTTAAGCGTGGCTCCATTTGGCTTCCGCCCAGAAAGCTCTTCTTCAGAGGCGCCTCAAACCGGGCCGTCGGTGAAGAGATGCACAGAGAGAGATGCTTCATGATCTGACACTAAGAAGATTGAAAGATTGAATTGTTAAACTATATTCAAGCACTATGACAATTCCATGGAGAACTGTTTTCTCCTCATAACATGTGAAACAAACATGATTGAGCAATCACAGAGTATATTATATATATGACGACAGTATAAATTGCATGTATTATTTACATATTTTTTTAAAACAAATTATAGATATACATAATGTGCTTTGCATCACTTGGCGTGTGGCCCCCCCACTGCAAATGATCCATACCTAAGGCGGGTCGGACATCGTCCATCGACCTTTGGATGCCCTGGGCCGAGGAGACATCCAGAGGATTGCTTCACTACCTATGTCCCAAAGGTTATATTTACTGTTTGTTGCTGGAGGGCGCAGCCAAAAACAACGGACCTTGGAGGATACCTTCAACGGACCTTCTTCGGTCTTCGGCCGGTTTCCAACAATGGGCTTGTTTTCCAACCATTTGCAGATGGTTTTCCGGATCCGGGAA